TTGAGTCTAGGGAGGGGAAGAACCTTGCCAGGCAACCTGGGTCAGCCAGCCAGCCACTCCATCCAGGTGTCTCCTCTTCCCATGGATGGGCCACCTCTCCCCAGACCTTTCTATATTCTATGAGCAGACCATCCCCAAATCTGAAACTTGGTTGTCAAGACTGAAAAGTATATGAAGCAAGGATAGGGAAACAACTGTTTTCTTCATAACTACAACAGAATGCAGACCTTGATGGCAGGTCAGGCCCCTCCTCCCCCTCAGTGGTGGCAAATAACAGTCAAACAGCACCAGGTAATAGCTTGACATCATCTTTTACACATGTGAAAAAGGATCATACTGCATTCAAAGACCACATGAATGTGCCAATCCAAAATGGATGAAGGTACAAGTTGTATGAAAATTGAGAATTGTCACTCAACATCACTCACTATCAGGGAAATGCAAATCAAAACCACAATGAAAGTGGTCCACTTTCTTACATCATACACAGAAATAAATTCAAAAGGGATGAAAGACCTAAATGTGAGACAGGAAACCATCAAAATTCTAGAAGGGAACACAGACAGGAACCTCTTTGACATTAGTTATAGCAACTTCTTACTAGACACTTCTCTGGAGGCAAGGGAAACAAAAGCAAAAATAAACTATTGGGACTTCATCAAGATAAAAGCTTCTGCATGGTGAAGGAAACAATCAACAACACTAAAAGGCAAACTTCAGAATGGGAGAAGATATTTGGAAATGACATATCTGATAAAGGGTCAGTATCAAAAATCTTTATAGAACTTATCAAACTCAACACCCAAAAAACAAATAATCCAGTTAAGAAATGGGCAGAAGACACAAAGAGACATTTTTCCAAAGAAGACATACAGACGGCTAACAGACACATGGAAAGATGCTCAACATCACTCATCATCAGGGAAATACAAATCAAAACTACAACGAGATATTACCTCACACCTGTCAGAATGGCTAAAATTAACAACACAGGAAACAACAGGTGTTGGCGAAGATGCAGAGAAAGGGGCACCCTCCTACACTGTTGGTGGAAATGCAAACTGATGCAGCCACTCTGGAAAACAGTATGGAAGTTCCTCATAATGTTAAAAATAGAACTACCCCGTGACCCAGCAATTGCACTACTAGGTATTTACCCAAAAGACACAAAAATACTGATTCAAAGAAACACATGCACCCCGATGTTTATAGCAGCATTATCAACAATAGCCAATTATGGGAAGAGCCCATGCCCATTGACTGACAAATGGACACAGAAGATATGGCAAATTATATATATATATATATGAATATTACTCGGCCATCAAAAAAATGAAATCTGCCATTTGCAATGATGTGGATGGAGCCAGAGTGTATTATGCTAAGCAAAATAAGTCAGTCAGACAAAGACAAATACCATATGATTTCACTCATATGTGGAATTTAAGAAACAAAATAGATGAACATAGGGGGGATAAAAAAGGAGAGAGGCAAATCATAAAACAGATTCTTAACTATAGAGAACAAACTGAGGGTTGCTGGTGGGAAGGTGGGCAGGGGAATGGGTTAAATAGGTGATGGATATTAAGGAGGGCACTTGTGATGAGCACTGGCTGTCATATGTAAGTGATGAATCACTAAGTTCTACTTCTGAAACTAATATTATACCATATGTTAACTGGAATTTAAATAAAATCTTTAAACAAAAAATAAAGCCACAATGAGATGCTCACACCTGTCACCATGGCTAAAATCAAAAACAAAAGAAGCATATGTTGGTGAGTATGTGGAGAAAAAGAAACCCTCATGCACTGTTGGTGGGACTGCAAACTGGTGCAGCCACTGTGGAAAAGAGTATGAGTGATGGGGGGGTGGGAGGTATGGGGTGGCTGGGTGATAGACATTGGGGAGGGTATGTGCTATGGTGAGCTCTGGGAATTGTGTAAGACTATTGAATCACAGACCTGTACCTCTGAAACAAATAATACATTATATGTTAAAAAAAAAAAAAAAGAAGAAGAAGATAACATGAAGGGAAGAATGAAGGGGGGGAAATTGGAGGGGGAGATGAACCATGAGAGACTATGGACTCTGAAAAACAAACTGAGGGTTCCAGAGGGGAGGGGGGTGGAGGGATGGGTTAGCCTGGTGATGGGTATTAAAGAGGGCACGTACTGCATGGAGCACTGGGTGTTATACGCAAACAATGAATCATGGAACACTACATCAAGAACTAATGATGTAATGCATGGTGATTAACATAACATAATAAAAAAAAAGGAAAAAAAATTAAAAGTAAAACTACCATATGATCCAGTAATTGCACTACTGGGTATTTACCAAAGAATATGAAAACGCTAATTCAAAAGGGTATATGCACCTCTATGTTTATTGCAGGATCACTTACAATAGCCAAAGTATGGAAACAGCTCAACAGTCCATTGATAGATGAATGGATAAAGAAGATGTGGTATATATATACAATTTCTATACAGCCATAGAAAAGAATGAAATCTTGCCATTTGCAACAACATGGTTGGAGCTAGAGAGTATAATGCTAAGCAAAATAAGCCAGTCAGAGAAAGACAAAGACCATATGATTTCACTCATATGTGGAATTTAAGAAACAAAACAAAGGGAAAAAAAAGAAAAACTAAAAAATAGACTCTTAACTGAAGAGAATAGATGATTACCAGGGGGACAGAGGGGAATGGGTGAAATAGGGGAAGGGGATTAAAGTGAACACTTATCTTGATGAACACTGAGTAATGTACAGAATTGTTGAATCACTATATTGTACACCTGAAACTAATTTAACACTGTATATTAACTATACTGGAATTAAGATAAAATTTTTAAAAAGAAAATTGAAAAAATACAAACCAAAGATAATTGCTACTTTACTTTTCTGTTTTCCTCTTCTTTTTTTTTTTCTTTTTCCTTTTCCTTCTTTTTATTGTCTATGACAAAGTTACTTTGTGCCTTACATAAGCAACCAGTTGTAGTATTATGACTAGTTTGGGGAGATATTCTTTACAAAATGGAGACCCTGGCTGCCCTTGGGTATTTGAAGAGCCAAGACAGAGACAAAGAATAAATAGAGAAAATGGGCAGGGGACCTGAATAGACATTTTTCCAAAGAAGACATGCAGATAGCCAACAGACACATGAAAATATATTCAACGTCACTAATCATCAGGGAAATAGAAATCAGACCACAATGAGATACCACCTCGTACCTGTCAGAATGGCTATTATCAAAAAGACAAAAAATGACAAGTGTTGGTGAGGATGTGGAGAAAAGAGAACAATTGTGCACTGTTGGTGGGAATGTAAATTGGTACAGCCACTATAGAAAACAGTGTGGCAGTTCCTCAAAGAATTAAAAACAGAACTACCATATGATCCAGCTGGGCATCTATATGAAGAAAACAGAAACACCAATTCAAAAAAAAATACATACCCCTGTGTTCATCACAGCATTATTTACAATAGTCAAGATACAGAACAAACTAAGTGTTCACCAATGGATAAATGTGTAAAGATGTGGTGTATATATACAACGGAATGTTAGTCAGCCACAAAAATATGAAATCTTGCCACTTGCAACAATATGAATGGATCTTGAGGGCATTATGCTAAGTGAATAATAAGTGAAACAGAGAAAAACAAATACTGTATGATTTCACTTATATGTAAACTCTAAAAAACAAAACAAATGAACAAATAGAACAAAACTCGTAGATACAAGGAACAGATTGGTTGTTGCCTGAGAGGAGGGGGGATAAAGGAGTGAGTGAAATGAGTGAAGGGGATCAAGAGGTACAAACTCCTAGTCATAAAATAAAAATTCATAGGAATGTCATGTATAGCATGGTGACTATCGTCACATATTGTGTTTCATATTTGAAAGTTGCTAAAAGAGTAGATCTTAAAAGTTCTCATCATATGTGTCTGCGAGAAAAACTTTCTCAAACATACTAATTTTGTCTTAAGCTAATTTCAAAAAAGGATCCATACTGGGGTGCATGGGTGGCTCTGTCAGTTAAGTGTCCGACTCTCAATCTCAGCTCAGGTCTTGAGCTCAGGTCTTGATCTCAGGGTCGTGAGTTCAAGCCCCACATTGGGCTCCATGCTGGGCATAGAGTCTACTTAAAAAAAAATTTGAAAAGGATCCATACTAAGAAGGGAGGACTTGTATGAATTGTGGAAGTAGTTAAGAAATGCCATGCTTCAGAGCATTCAGGGGAGTAAAGAAGAACTGATAGTTGGTGGTGATGGTTCCATGGGTGTATACATATGTCCAGACTCATCAAATTGTGTACATTAAATCTGTGTAGTTTTGGGATATCAATGATACCACAATAAAGCTGGTATGGGGTTGGGGGTTTTTTTGTTTGTTTTTTATTTTATTTTATTTATTTATTTGAGAGAGAGAGTGAGCGAGAGAGAAAGAGAGCACAAGCCAGGGGAGAGGCAGAGGGAGAGGAAGAAGCAGGCTCCCCACTGAGCAGGGAGCTCGACGTGGGGCTCGATCCCAGGACCCCGAGATCATGACCTGAGCCGGAGGCAGATGCTTAACGACTGAGCCACCCAGGCACGCCCAAAGCTGGGTTTTTTAAAGGAAAAAAAATGTTCTCATCATAAGAAAAAAAGATGTTATAACTATGTATGATGATGGATGTTAATGAGACTTACTGTGGTGATCATTTCACAAAGTATACAAAAATCAAATCATTATGTTGTACACCTGAAACTAATAGAATATTAAATGTCAATTATACTTCAATATAAAAAAATATAGGGGGAGTTGTAGTATCTTTTCTTCTAGGGAAGAAAAACAGTGATAGCATATGGCTTCAATGTGTTAATTAACCCAATTGTGGTAATCATTTTACAGAACATACATATGTCAAATCATCATGTTTGTACAATTTAAAACATATAATTTTATTTGTCAATTATATCTCAATAAAGCTGAAAATTAAGAAAAAAAAGAAGTACTCACTTCAGCAACACATACACTAAAATTGGAAGGATACAGAGATTAGCATGGCCTCTGCATAAGGATGACACATGAATTCATGAACCATTCCACATTTTTTAAATAAGTCATGGGATATAAGGTAAGCATGGTGACTATAGCTAGTAATAGTGTATATTTGCAGGTTGCTAAGAGAGTAGATTTTAAAAGTTCTTATCACAAGAAAAAAATTTTGTGACTATGTGTGACAATGGATGCTAACTAGACTTATTGTGGTGATAATATCACAATATATTAAAAATATCAAATCATTGGGCGCCTGGGTGGCTCAGTTGGTTAAGCGACTGCCTTCGGCTCAGGTCATGATCCTGGAGTCCCGGGATCGAGTCCCGCATCGGGCTCCCTGCTCAGCAGGGAGTCTGCTTCTCCCTCTCCCGCTCCCCCCTCTTGTGCTCTCTATCTCATTCTCTCACATAAATAAATAAAATCTTAAAAAAAAAAATCAAATCATTATGTTGTACACCTGAGACTAATATGACGTTATATGTCAGTTATGTCTCAATACAAAATAAAAATAAACAAGTAAGAATATGGTCTCATAAAGTTAAAACCCAGAGCATAAAGCTGACATCAGAAAAATCAGTCTCCACCCGTGTAAAAGTCATTATTATAAGCTCCTCCCAGCTCCTGCTTTTCTCATTCACATCCACTCATTCCATGCACATCACACACACAAACACCAACTTAGGAGCCAGAGCTAAAGAGAAATGAAGGTCCTGCCTCAGGTTAGGACCATGAGTCAGAATGAACTGGGCTCTGGCCCTAACTCTGCCACCTCACCGATGAGTTCCCGGACGTGCCTAAATTTCCATTTCCTCAGCTAGCAAGTGAAAAGAATAGGTCCCACCTTAGAGTAGTGAGGATTATTTTGGGTAAGGCATTGAAGAACTCAGCATAGTACCTGGCATGTTAATTACCAGTTCTCATTAAATGACGGCCGTTAGACATACTTACATAATTAGTTCTGAAAAAGAAGTAAACTTAGAGTCACATCAATGACTTTTATTTAAAATTATTTGCAAGGTTGATGTGGAAGAAGAGTTAGCGAAGATGGGTGGGTGGCTCTTTAAATACCTTTCTTTACATTTTTAAGAACAACTTATTCTATTAAAATACCTTTCATTCTCCTTAGTCCCATAAAAGGACAACAGAGCAGATCACACTCTCAACTAAGACATCAGAAGCAGTCAGAGTCGGGTATGAGTCATGTGGGGGAGCAGCGGCCCTGACCGCCCCCTGCAGTCACTCAGCCTCTGCGGGCACTCCTTCACAGCTACCACCACCTGGCCTGGCGTACTGGGGCCCGAAAACCACAGTGGCATCCGGAGACATGATGTGGAAACAAAATACTATTTGGGATCTTTTTCAAGCAAGGGGGGCATGTATGCTTCTCCATGTTCTTCCTTCTTAGGGTTCCTTCTTTCCTCCACTTTCTTTCGAGATTTCATCTCCATCCTCAGGCATTCCCTTTTGCTTCTCTCCTTTCTGCTCTCAGGTCCCTGAAAGAGAAAGTTCAGAAAAAGGGTAGAAATGTGCTGACAGCTGACAACGAGCCACATTTCTCCTAACTCTTGGAAATGAACAAAGCCCTGGTCATTTAGTAGACTTCCACATCTTAGCTTCTCATAATAAATTAGCAGAAGCCCAAGGGTGTTGCTAAAGGTTTCAGTCATAAATAAAAGGAATGGGGCTTCGGTGTCAGCTGATGATCTATGGAGGAAACTCAACCTGTACACAACTCTGAGCTATAGAGGGATGTGTTTCACATTACAATATAATTAACAGTCTCCTGGTGCTTTCCGAAAAGGAATACGGCAGGTGAATCATACACGGAATGATTCTAACCTCCCAGTGTCTACTTCTTTAAATTACATTAACAGTAGGGTTTGTGTTAAGTTCTAATGTGAGGACTATGTAGAGAATGAAGTGTTAAGGAAATGACATCCAGGCACATTAACATTCCCCAGCTGGTTGCCCAGGAATCCACCCACATTCACTGATTTATTGAACACATACTACTGTTCTAAGATCAGGAGATACAGCACTAACTAAAGAAACCCTACTTCTTCGATATTACCCCTAGGTACAGCATGACAATCAATAAGCCTAAAAAGAAACAAGAAGATCACAGATAGTGATAATTGCAATGATAATGAGCAAACAGGGTGACATGATAAGGAAGTATGGGGTGGGAAGGGGGAAGGCTTCTTCGTTTCCATGGTCAAGGAGCGTCTTTCGAAGGAATTACTGACTAAAGAATGGCATTGATAAATGTGGCGATGGCATCTACCTATACTTCTATTTTTAAAAATAAATAACATCATGACTCTCCCCCTCCTCCACGTGAACTGGAAACGCTGGGGAACACCCAAAGGTCTATCAAGTGAATATGCACTGTGATGAGTACCAATCAGATGAGCAAGATCATGACTCAACCCTGCAGGCTGAGTTATGAGGGTGTCTGATTACTGCGGTGATGTCAGCTACTCTTCAATGCTAAATAGTTTTTATACCTAGATTATTTCATTTCTATCTATATTGGTCCAGTGGCCAAAGTCACAAAGCGAAACAAATGATGAAGTTGAGATATAGGTTAAGAGAAACTTAAAAATTGTACTAGTTCTGTAAATGTGCCCCCAGATTATTTTCATTAGACCTAGCAGTTGTATTAGATCCATCAGCCTGATCAAAGTTCATATATAGCAGTCATGAATATCTCCAGTACTTATAAGAGCAGTATAAAAAAGAGAAAATACAGTGATGATTATTTTTAAAATAAAGCAATGGCTTTTCCCTTATTGAGAATAAAGACTATCTGAGAAATGCTTGTAAATAATGAGCTGAAATCTTTTTTCTTGTATCATTATTTAGAAACAAAATGTAAAAATTATCAAAATAAGACAATTGAGGTTTTCAATACCAAAATGAAAGAATTTAATATTGTTGGTTGTGATCAGGTCACAAAATTAGTTTCCTGATCTCTTTTTTTTAAGATTTTTATTTATTTATTTATTTATTTATTTATTTATTTATTTATTTATTTATTTGACAGAGAGAGAGGGAACACAAGCGGGGGGTGGGGGCGGTGGGAGAGGGAGAAGCAGGCCCCCCCCACTGAGCAGGACCTTGGGATCATAACCCAACCTTGGGATCATGACCCAAGCTGAAGGCAGACACCTAACGACTGAGCCACCAGGTGCCCCAATTTCTTGATCTTTTTGATGCTGAAGGACATAAAATTTTAATCTACACATTACTCTACATTTGGCCCCCAGCCAAAATATAAATCAGTTTTAGATTTGCTGATAAACTACACTTTTTAGTGTAGTTTGCTTTAGAAAAGTATGTCAATTGTTAAATAAGAACACGTTTTAAACTATATGTATGTTCTAAATTTTTAATTTTACGTAAGGATAAACTTTATAAAATACTCTTTAAAATTGATACAAAATAAAATATTTAATAAAAGTATTTATCCTATATGTTTATATATGTAATATGAAAAAAAATTAAATGATTTTGTAAATTCCTAGCAGGTTTCTAGGTATTATATGGAACTGTGAAAAGAGTTCTTGGGTCAAAAAGTTGAAAATGTTGTCTTAATTGCCTTGGTACTCAAAAGGAAGAGCTTGGGAAATGAAATATTAGCTAACATGTGATATTTTAGGGATAATGTGATAAGTATCTCTTTAAATAAGAGAACTGATTTCATGTTTACACACTGTTAGGGCTTATAATATTAGCGAATGGTATCGTGTAAGCAGTTACATAAGATGTGTTGCTATATATATACTTTTTTTCTGAGGACATCAGAATCACCAAAGAATAGTTCAGATTAAAATGTTTTTGAAAATACACTTATACTGTAACTCGCTCTAGAAAAAACTTAAGGCAGATATGTCTCCTGAATTAATATAATTAATGACTTAAACATGTAATTCTAAAACAGGAATTCTGGCACTGCTGTTATATTCCTGCTGAAAGCTCAGAGTCTAAATCTAGTCATGAGGAAATATCAGATAAACCTAAACTAGGCATCACTCTAAAAGATAGCTGGCCTGTATTCTTCAGATGTCAGTGTCATGAAAGACAAGGAAAGACTAAGGAACTGTTCCAGAATAAAATCAATCAGAGGGATGTGAAAATTGGTTGCAACACATGATCTGGAATTTCACAATAGAGAATATTTTTGAGACAACTGGCAAAATATGAACAAGATCAATAAATTAGATATAAAAGTATTGTATTAGTTTTAATTTCCTGAGTTTAATTATTATACTGTGTCTCTGTAACAGAATGTTCTCCTGTCCTTGTTTGGGGGCTTGGAAGCGAGAGAGGACATGAGTAAATATAACACATTAACTTTTGGAGGGAATCTAAATGAAGAATGGATTTTTTTGTACTACTCTTGCAATACCGTTTTAAGTCTGAAACCATTTTTTTAAAACAATATAAAGAAAAGACAAAACAGGAACTCTTAATAAGATTTAGATATGGTAACATATCGTACGTCACTAGTTTTTGATGTAGTGTTCAACAATTCATCAGTTGCGTATAACACCCAGTGCCCTATTCCTCTTATGATCAGGTGGAGAGAGCAGCCTGCTGAAGGGGAATCATACACAGGGTCTCTCTCTGATAAAAGTGAGGTGTCACCTACGAGGCAAAGATGCATGATGACAGCACCAACAGCCATCACTGCTAAGCAGAAAGCACTGTTCAGACGGACAAAGAGGTAGGAAGCAGCCACACATCTTCCTCTCTACATTCACAGAGCGTAGCTCAAGAACCAGGTGGCAACACTCCTGGTCACTTATTTGTTCTGCCTACTACATGGCAGAGACATATCAGTATTCCTGTTTTGCAAAATAAAACCAAAACCAAAAAAAAAAAAAAAAAAGTTGCTTTGCTCAAGGCCACTCAATGAACATGTTGCAGAGTTCAAAAACTATCCCCAAATTAATTGATCCTCTAGTGTATGACTTTAGGTATCAAGTTTGGCATCACCAATGGAGTTTCTATTCTTCACCCATTTCATGTCTATCTCTCCTTTGTGCTTTATTTAGACTCCCACAGGTCACTGGGAATGCCTGGACAGCTCCTACTCCTGGAATCTTACTAGTGTTTAGAGAATTCCTTCTGCATACTTTTTAGAAGTATAGGCGAGGGTGCCTGGGTGGCTCAGTCAGTTAAGCGTTCTGCCTTCAGCTCAGGTCATGATCCCAGGGTCCTGGGATGGATCCCTGCATCAGGCTCCCTGCTCAACGGGAAGCCTGCTTCTCCCTCTCCCTTTGCGCCTCCCTGGCTTGTGCTCTCTCTTGCTCACTCTCTCTCTCTCAAATAAATAAATAAAATCTTAAAAAAAAAAAAATAGAAGTACAGGGAAACACACCACCATCATACACTGTTTGCTACTGGATTAAATATGAAAGGACAGGAACAGTTGGGGTAGTTTTTCCATTCTTCAAAGAGTGAAAGAAGAACAAGTCACAATTATTTATAAGATTGACAAAAAGAGTCTCAAAGAACCAGAGGACCTTGGTAACAAAAACATTCCACCTATGGTCCTCCAGGAATTCTTCCTATACCAGGTGTCTCCAGTAAAAATAATAAAAAAAACATATACATCTGGGCTATCTAAAACTGTCATTTTTCAAAGACCTCATCATTAGGCTGTAAATGAAGAAATTAGATTTGTTCTCCTCAAACTTGGGGAGAACGAACCCTTTGGGTTTCCTTTTCTAAAGTGGTTAAATATTCAATAACTCTGTTACATACCAAAGAGACAGAGCATTTGGTTCTAAAGCACAGTTGCTGTTCAAAGGACTCTGAAAATGCTTGAATTTTGGAATGGGAGCTTCCTTTTGATTCCAGTGGCTCCTTGAATGACTCACCCACTGAGCATTTTCTGAAATCCAGCATGTGGGTATGGCATCGAAATCCTTGGTCCTCATGAGAATGCCTTCTGGGATGGCTGACAGACGATGTGATTCTGGGAAGCACAGGAAACTGGGAATACAGAATAAAAATTTTTGCAGGCGCCTGGGCGGCTCAGTTGTTACACGTCTGCCTTCGGCTCAGGTCATGGTCCCAGGGTCTTGGGATCGAGCCCCGCATCGGGCTCCCTGCTCTGCAGGGAGCCTGCTTCTCCCTCTCCCACTCCCCCTGCTTATGTTCCCTCTCTCGCTGTGTCTCTCTCTGTCAAATAAATAAATAAAATCTTTAAAAAACAAACAAACCAGAAACCACATTCAAATGGGAAAGGAAGGGAAAGCTCTTCTCTTCCTAAGCATGTAATATGGACGGATATAGGTTATTAATAGGTTATGAGAGGGAAGAGCCTTAGATAGGAGCAGTGGGGAGAGAGAAAAAGAGACAAGGCTAAGAGTAAGCTTTTCTTTTTAAGTTATTGATTGAGCTCAAAGCAAAACACACACACACAAAATGAAAACCTAATTGTTCTCTGATCTCTAAAGTAAGAAAAATCTGAGCACATTTTAGAGTTAGAAAAGTTAACTATCCAACACAAGCTCTTGTCATAAATATATGGCGTTCTGTGACTGGAACTGGACATTCAGACCCCTGACTATTTCCCAGGATCTGCCCACGTCACCCTGGGTCCCCTGCTCTGTGTTCTGCCCTTGCACTCTCTACCCTATTTGGTCAGGTGCTCATTTTTATTCCATGCTTTGTCTCCTTAAATAAACACATACTTTCTGTATATAGTCTGATAATTTTGGAATTCACTGTTGACTTAGAGAATCTAAACAGGTTAATTCAGGCAAATGTCTGAAGCTAGTATGAGCAGGAAGAGATATACGGACGCTGTTTACAAATGCCCCATATAACAAATTCTGCTTAGTCCTAATAGTTTCAGGCAAACAACATTGCAACCTAAAACTGGATTCCCTAGTGGATTATCTCAGTTTTAAAGGTCTAATAGATGCTAAAATTTATTCAACAAAACTGTATTTTGTAAGTCATTTGTTTTTATTTCATATTTTGTTTTCATATTTTCAACAGTACTAAAGGGCCGTTGAGATAAATAGCAAATCACAGTTTTTCTCTTTGTTTCTTCTTGGTTCTAGCTATCTGGAAACTGGAAACTAATTGTACTTCGGGTTCACACATTGTGAATACCTCACTTGAAGTGGAACATAAGAGATTAAAATGAGAGTGTGATAAACAGGTGTTTATTTGTAACAGAATCATGGACAGTTAGAGCTAGAAGAGTTCCCAGAGATCATCCTGTCCAGCCTCTCTTCTTTTTTACATAAGGAACCTGAAGCTCAAAGAGCTGTTGAAACTTGCCCTTTGTCCCTGAGTATGCATTTGGTAAGAAATCTACTTTCAAATATTTGTGTCTTAAAGAGGTCTCATTCCTCAAATTTGCTGGTCATGGGGAGTAAAAGAGATTGCCATACCCACCGTAATATCCCTCATAGGCATTATGCATCTGGGAACTCTGAGGCTAAAACTGAAATAAAATAACATTGCCCCAAAACGTACATGATTCTGGGGTTGACAGAAGCAAGTTGGGGAGGTATTCTCTATAGCTAGAATCCTAAGTGACCTGCAAAAAAGAAAAGCTATATTCTTGCTGTGTAACTGTGAAGCAGAGGATGCAGGTCTCTGCTGCAGAGTCTTCTAGCCGTGCAGTTGAGTGGAGAGAACCACTGCCTGCACCTGCCACTGAGTCCTCACCCGGTCAGGCCCACCCGTTCTGCTATCAGGAGCTTTCTCCTGCTTTCATCTTGCTCCCTAGACACTGGGTGCTCTGCTGCCCTATGGAAAAGTAGTGCTGAGGGCAGAAAAATTTGGGTTCCCTCTCCCCTTGGGAAACCAAAGGGGAACCAGAAGAAAACGTGTATCAAATTTATCAAAGGTAGTGATTTATGATGTGGAATCCCCAATTCTTTAGAGGTCATCAAATCACGGAGCTATTTTCAGTATTTCAAAAAGAGTAGTGGAAATCACACATTGATCCATGCCTGATGCTACACAGACTAATTTATAACATCAAGTTTCTTTCCTTTGGCTGGAATCATATTAACCCTCAGGAGGATTGTCTCAGGTTTATCAGGAGCTCTGAATAGTAGTTAAAGATATCTTAGGCTACTAAAAATGAAGAAATCTTCACCTAATAAACGAAAATCAGGTCCCCTAGAGGACAAGATAAAATAATAAAAGGGACTTTTGTGGGTATAAAAGGTTTAGAAGTACTGATTTTTAACCAGAGAAGATTTTATACCAAAGGCCTCTTCAAAAATTATCTAATAGAAATTCCCCTCCCCTAGTCCAGCTCTCCCCTGGTTCTCTGATCATAACTCACTGGGCAGAGCAGGGAGGTTTTCCTGTAAGTGGCATCTTGTGATCCGTGGCGGTCCCGGAGTCCTCTCTCATTCTCTTCTGTCCAGCTGTGACCCCAGAAGCTGCTCATCCATTTGGCGAAAGACACATCATCATCATCATCATCATCTTTGTGCTCCATGCGTAGGTGATTCAAATTCTCGAAGGCCTGTCCCTAAATTTGAGAGAGAGAAATATCATCCAACAGGGCTGACCTGATGAAACCCAGGATCTCCCCCAAAAGACAAAATGAAACTGGTATTTTCAAATGCTCTCCGATAATGGGATCCTTAAGGGAGAAAGATTTACTAAACAACCATGTCATCATCAGGCAGCCTCGGGGAGTGTCTATTTATAAATTGTGCAGCCCACATTCCCTCCCCTCCCCCTGTCTTTTTAAAATTGAGGCTTTTTAATCCTTCCATTGCTGGGGCTTGTGTCTCCAAGCCTAAGGGTGGGAAGCACAGTCCACTGCCTGGTTTTCCCTGTGCTCTGCTGCTGATACATGAGATGGCAATTCCAGCTGTCAATGAGGATGGAGCATGACCCTTATAATATGCCTGTCAGCTCCAGGCTAGCTCTGAAATGGGGCCACTTACAAGGACAGACTGACTACAGCCTGCAAGATGGCCAGCTATTGGCATGCTATATCTACTGCCAGATACACTCCTAATAAATAAAATTGATACTGATACAAAAATCCAGCTCCTGGGTTTAAGGGAACAGGTTTTGTTATTGATGTATTATTTATATCTGTATAAATCGTACATGTATATTGTACAAACCTTAAGTGTATAGTTTGATGAATTTTTACATACATGTACCCGCACATAACCACACCATAAAACATTTTCAGCACCCCAGCTGGCTCCCTTTTTCCTTCTTCCAATCCATCCTCCCATCCGCTATCGCTACAGATTAATTTTGCCTGTTTTTGAACTTTCTTTCAATGGAATTATACAGAATGTATTATTTTGTGTCATTCAACATTATGTTGGTAAGATTTATCCATATTTTTGTGCTAATGGTAGTTCATGCTTTATAGTAGTACACTGTATGAATATCCCACATTTAAAAAAATCCCTCTCTCGCTGTCTCTCTCTCTGTTGGAAAATAAATGAAATCTTAAAATAAATAAATAAATAAATAAGATAAATTCAGTCTACTACTGATGGTCATTTGGGACTATCATTTGCTCTGTTTCCAGGTGAGGTGTTATAAATAGAACTTCTGTGAACATGATAGTCCTTGTTTTTTAGTAGGCCTTTATTTTTTTGAGATAACAGGACTAATAAATTTATTAAGCCCCTCCTTTGTGCCAGCTATGAAGTCAAATATTTTACGTATGCTATTTTCATTATAACAACACTGTGACTGGGAGATTTGTCTCACATTTTATAGATAAGGACATTGAGATTCAAATAGATCATCACTTGCCTGAGGTGAAATTACTACTAAGCAGCACAGCCAAGTCTGAAGCAAGGAGTAGAATAATGAAGTCCAGACTCTTCCACCATTCCACCAGTATTCCAAGAAACCTTTGATAAAGCTTGCATTCTTAGAGTTATTCCTGACTGTTTTCTATATGAAAACTCTTCCTTGAGCTACAAAAAGACAGGCTTAATAATTGTGACCAGTGTTCCTAGAGCATGGCACCACAATTTCTAAGTTACTAAGGAAAAGTAACCAAAGCATAAAATAGCTTGCAACATTTTTATTTCTTGTTTTAAATAGTGAGAGATGCAGGCTTGTTACTTTGTAATACTTTTATTACAGAATGCAGAAAGCCTGCTTCTCAATGACCCAGATGAGAAAGGAAAAGTTATAACTATAACCATATGCCACCACTATTGATTGTCTCTGTTATTAAAGAAAGAAAGGTAACCTCTCTTGGGGAAGCAGGACCAGGTATGTCCACAAAACTTAACTACAGATAAACCTCTTCTTTTCTATTCCTCTTAAAACAGAAATGTCTTTTCTTCCAATTTCAGAAACAAAAATAAATAAATCTATGATCAGGGGATGGAAAAACCAGAACAGGTCATACCTAATTATTGCTTAGAAGTATTTTGAAGAAAAGAAATACGACTTTATTTTAAAACTTCTTTGAGGGGCGCCTGGGTGGCTCAGTCATTAAGCGTCTGCCTTCAGCTCAGGTCATGATCCCAGGGTCCTGGGATTGAGCCCCGCATCGGACTCTCTGCTCAGTGGGGATCCTGCTTCTCCCTCTCCCACTCCCCCTTCCTGTGTTCCCTCTCTCTCTGTCTCTCTCTATCAAATAAATAAATAAAATCTTTAAAAAAATTTAAAAATTAAAAAAATAAAACCTCTTTGAGTGACACCTATCTCTTGAAATTCTGAACCCTTCTTTTAAGGCCTTATAGACAGAAGCAATTTAAATACTGGAAAATGTGTATATATAAATATGGATATTTATTATGAGGAATTGGCTCATGTAATTATAGAGACTGATAAACTTCACAATCTGCCATCTGCAAGCTAGAGACCCAGAAAAGCCAGTGGTGTAATTTAGTCCAAGTGTAAAGGCCTGATAACCAGGGGAGCCAATGGTGTAAATCCCAGTCCAAGGGCAGAAAAAGTTGAGATGAGATATTCCAGCTTATGAAGTGAGGAGAAAAAAAGAGCAAATTCCTCCTTCTGTCTTTTGTTCTATTTAGACCCTCAACTGATTGGATGAGGCCTGCCACACTGGGGAAGACAATCTACTTTATTGAGTCCATAATTTCAAATGCTAATTTCATCTAGAAGACACATCCAGAAATAGTGTTTAATCTGGGCACTCCATAAAACTGACATGTAAAAATTAACCATCACAGGCACTAATCCCATTCATGAAGGCTCCACCCTCTCATCTCTTTACCACCCAAAGTTTCTACCTCCAAACCATCATATTGGGGATTAGGCTTCAACATATGAATTTTGTAGAATCACAACATCCAGTCCATAGCAAGGTACCACATAAACAGCACCCAGTAAAAACCGGAGGCACTAAGTCTCTAATGAGCATGCAGACAACATTTCACACATGTTGCCAAAACTCATTACTGGAAGAATTAAGCACATCCTATAAGACTTCAATGGGCAAAGAAAAAATAACAAAAGAAACCTTTTGGAAGCTTGTGCCTGGCTTTCTTCAGACTTTACCCAATATGCCTTTCCCCTTTTTGGATTTTGCTCTGTATCCTTTCAGTGTAATAAATCTTATCCATAACTATAACTATATGATGTGGATTCTTTTAGCAAATCCTTAAACTGGGGGTGACAGTTGGTGTCGGAAGTGGGATTTATTAACAACAACCCTGACTCATTGAAATATAGCTAAAACAGGGCTTGGAGAAAGGAAGTATGAAGGGGATATAATTATGAACCTTCACATCCCATGGCTACCTAGTCATCTGTGGTATGAAACAGCAGCTGAGATGATGTCTGTTTTGGAAGGTGAAGGTTACCTATGGAATTTGAAAATGCTAGGTCCAACCCTGGAAGAATTGGATCCATTGGTCGCTTTTGGCCGTGGTAGCTAAGGTGAAGGAATTAAAAAGTACAGTCTGGGTGATGTCTTTAGGTTTTGTTCTCCCCCTCAGGTGGGAAGAGAAAGGGTCCAAACACTCCCAAAAAACATTTCAGGTGAGCCAAAATGTTGTATGTTTGTATTGCTCACTCCTCCAAGTGGGAGGAAATAAGATTAAGTCAATTCCAAGGCTGGCACAAACTTTAGACAAATCAGAAAAAAAGAAGGGGGGAAAAAACACTCTACCGATTGGTGCAGCAGCCTGCTGCATTCCAGCTGGGATCTCTCAATAGTGCTAATTTTAATCCTGGAAGTGTTGAATTTACTGCTAAGGTTTGAGTAAACTTGCAAAAAAAAAAAAAGTGAGAGAGAGAGGGAGAGACTTTCTAAAATGGCTTTTTATTTTGTAGCTATTGCTTCTGAGTATATGATTTTAAAAAACAGTGTAAAGTATCATATGTCTGTAATTTCATAAATGCTAAAGGGATTATTCCAATCTGGGAAAGCTGCCCAATAAAAGGTGTTAGTAGAACAGGACTTCTTCCTTGGATGGATTAAAATTTAAAATCTTTGAACATCTGAGTATTGAAATCTTCATAACTGATTATTGTTCCCATGATTTTTGCCTGTTGGAGCCTATGAGAAAAGGCAGACAACATAAAAGGAGAAATAATCTTTTTGAGTTTTAAAAAGCAGTTTTTAGTTTGGTAATAAGTTTCTGTAAAATCAGATGTCTGACTCTTAGAGGCTGATGATTTTCTAGACTAATTGTGCATATATTTGAGCAGGTCAATTTGGATTCTAAGACTGACAAGATGAGAAGGGCTTAGAAGAACTTGGAACTCCACTGTCTGACCCTGTAGTCTTTCATCTTTGCTGCTGCCAAAGAAGAAAAGTCACTGGCTTTTTTGGAATCCTGAATTCAGAGAACCTAATTGCCTGGATCTGATGGTAGGCTGAAACCTAATAACATCTGTAACAGACTATTTCAATCTTGGACAACAGACATAGACTCAATGAACAGAACTGAGACGCTGGGACTACTACAGACTTAAGACACCCTTCCGTGGGGCCATAAGCTATAAAAACATCATGGATGCTGGCTGGACCACATGGCTCACCTGCGGACGCCCACAGAAAAGGGCTCATTCTCTGATGAGACCATCTGAAACCAAGCTGCAGGTGGCTGTATATTTCTAATGAGGGACTAACTGCATTTGAGATGAATGATCACAAGGAACCTAACCTGTGATTCCTGTTGCAAGCTGTAAGATGGAAGAGAGCACAGCATGGAGAGTAGGACCTCTCCACCCACTCCCAACAGAGGGGACTCTCAACTCCTGCTCAGGAATGTCTCACTGCTATTGACTTATGTCTGACTTTCAACATTATTTGAAATTTGCAATAATAGACTGATAGCCTGATTCAGCTTTACTCATCTTTCTCCTAAGTTAGGCAGTTTGATTATTAAATATAGCTATTCCCAAAGACAGAGTGTTCTTTTTCAGGCTTCCTACTGAATAAATGATCAGGGTGAAAAGGATGGGGGGTTATGTAAACATGTTCTGAAAACTTTTGAAAATTCAGGATTTTGTCCTAACCAGTTCCTGATCATGCTGTGTCTTTCTGGTTAAGTTACAGTA